AAAAAACTGTGGAGCAAATAACCTTTCAAAAAGGTTTAAGGCAAGAACAATTCCAGAACTATTCCCACAAGAAAGTAAGAAAGCTGGGCATCCAGGGATAATACTTATATAGATATAAATGTTGCAGAGTTTATACAGACTATATGTCAGGCAATAGATGAGCACAGCAGTCTCATTAGAAATACTAGGCTAAAACTAAGGAAGTTCCCTCTCACTTGTATACCCATCATATGACTTCCTAGACTCTCTGAAGGATACTCCAGACGTTGAATCATCATGAACCTTCTTGAAGAGAAGAATAATTTCTCAAAAATGTTTCTTTCCCCTTCTCTTCAAGAAAACCATTATTTGCTAATTAGCTCTGTACCAAGGAGTGAGCTGAGGCCTTAGAGACTCCACAGATGTGCCTCACAGTCAATGAGCATTTTCTCCTCTGTCCCCTGACCTGCCCATCCCTGGCACAAACTAATGGGCCTGTGTTTCAGAAGGGCAACCTAAACCACAATCCCCTATTTTCCAGTTTCTTGACATACTTCTGGAAGCCTCTAAGCGGTACAATTATCCCAACATTTTTTTGCAGCCAGCCAGCTATTATAAAAAAACTGGAGCCAGACGATTGTGGCCTTTGGTCGGTCTAGGGGTAACAACTGGTCCCTACCTCTCCAAGTTTATCTATGTCTTGCACATAGGCTTCTGTTCACATTCAAGGGAAAAGGAGGGAAAACTTTCACTGGAAATTCTAGCTTAACAATAGAAGGTTGGGGATGCTGGATATGGGACTTGCATGCATGCTTATATCCCCTTTGCAACCATTCTTCATGTGAATAAGCTGCACACTCCCACTGGAATACTGAAATTCCTGGTGCAGGTCCCGAATCAAGGTGAATAAGTCAACAGCCTTGCAGTTCCCTTATTTACACCTTCCTCCTACAGCTTTTATAAAGCCATTTAAACCTGATATTCTCTTTTTAAAAGAAGGCTAAAGCTGTAAGACCTATTGCAGGTTCCATTAAGGCATTCTGGACCGCAGTAGTTTTCCAGCCAATAACACAGGGTTTGCAAGGTCATTAAAAAAATTACATTCAAACAAAAATCCATTCATGTGCAAAAGACGATCACAATGACCCACAATTCATTTAATTGTCGCTGACACCCTCCAGGCAACAATGTTCAATTTCCCCAGCTTTGATTGCTGCGCTCATGATATAATCTCAGCCAAAACTCTCCCAAATTCACTGATAAATGTAGAAATCCAGCCAAACAGCTCCTCTGAGTCTTGGTCGTCTGCTTCCCCAAATTTCATCTGAAAGGAAAAATAGAGAGATGGGGGGAGGGAGAGATAAAAGTATTGGACCTTTAATGGCGTAGCATTCACCATAATACAGGTCTTCTAAAATGAACAATATTAGCCTGTTTCTTCTATGTAAGTCGGCCAAGTGACTGCCAGATTCTCATTGTCACAATTAAAGACCAATTAAAGACCAAAATAAGGGGAATATTCGTAAGATTGCCTAACCCAAGAGCAGAATGGCATCTGTCCATGGGGCTTGTAAATCAAAATGTGGTATTGGAGGAAACACATTAAATACAAAATAGCAGAAAAACTAATGGCACAGAGGCAAGGGGAAAAGGCTAGTCTCCTGCATCTTTCCATATATTTCTCAAGCCTTCCTAGGGTACATACGTTTTAAGTTATCAAAACACCGTATGCAAATACCTGATTCCTGGTAGACACGTTAAGCCAGGAATGAAAACTCTGTGGCCAAGGGAGGCTGCATCTGGACCCCTTCGGCTGCCATTATCACAAAACAACTCCTTTCCCCATGGACAGTCAAATCTCCAGAAACCTCCCATTTTAAAGCCATTCATCTCTTTCATACACCTTTTAAAGACCCTGAAAAGTGTTCTTCTTTACAAAACGAAAACTAGAATTGGTTATAAGAAGGAGAAAGTTCAACCCTCAGAGATCCAGATTGGTGGGAAATGGGCAGCCAATGGATACTTTCAAATTCCAGTTTGCACTCTAGCAATAGGTGAAACTAAGAACACAGGGTGAAGCCAAAGGGAGAGACAAATCAAAGCAAGGTGGGCTGGACATGTGTAATTCTTACGTTCTGGACATCTTCCCACCTCTGGAAAGTGTCAGGTGACCTGTTCTTTTGAACAAGCAGGCTTGGGGTGCTGAAGGCCACACTGAGTGGTCATAGGAAAACATCTGGAGGCTTCTCCCAACCTCAGGTATTTAAATTTTAAATATACTCTTCTCCCTAAACAGTATTCAGAAATTAAAGCAAAATAAACTACAGGAATTGATAGAAAACCACTTATCCCTTATCCAACCTACATGCCAGTGATTAGACTCCATGCTGTAATAGCACCTATCATCCACCGTGTATTATAACCAAGGCATGTCTGTAAGCCAACGTTAGGCACAAACCAGCCAACAATGGCCGGTCACATTTATTCTGGCAGTTGCTCACTGCATGTCATAGCAAACCTTACAGCGTTCTCTAAAGCAAATATGCATGCACCAGCCACTTCTGCTGAATCAAATCTTCTGCCTAAGATTCACTTCTGCTGAACCTTAGGCATATGATTCACTTCATATGCCTAAGAGGATATCCCTCTGATAAGCTATATAAATATTTGTCCAGACCTCCTTCATGCAGGCTTCATGCAGTGTTAGCAGGCATATTGCATAAGCAGACTCTTGGTTTTAATCACTTCCTGCAGTTTAATTAAGGAGACATCTCACCATTTCCAAGGGCATCTGCTTAATGCAGCTGACACAGTCCAGAATGCAAGTTGACAGAGTGGCTTTTGCAACTGACCAGAAAAAATCCTGAGAGCAGATCAACATGATTTTAGTAATTCAGTTTTTTTAAGTACATCAGTAATTATTCCGTTCTATATGGTTCTATAAATTGCATCTGGACTGGTAATACGGGTTGATGATTTAAGAAGTATGAGCGATAGCAAACATTTGACTTCCATGCTATCTCCCTGTAGCTCTTCTTCTCCGGCATGATTTAACAAAAGTATCCACAATCCACAGGAATTAGAAGGAAGAAGGAAAGGCACCATGTTAAAATAATTTACACACAATGTGCACCACAGTAACATATTGTGTGTGTGTGTGTGTGTGTGTGTGTGTGAATTTAAAATATTAAATTACTCTACCTTTCAAAACTAGTTAGTTACAGTTACAGGTCTAAGGCCCCAAAAGTAGTTAGCCACTCTGAATTTTTAAAAAAGTATAGAGATGTGGTGGCGCTGTGGGTTATAACGCAGAAGCTTCTGTGCTACAAGGTCAGAAGACCAGCAGTCATAAGATCAAATCCATGCGATGAAGTGAGCTCCTGTCACTTGTCCCAGCTCCTGCCAACCTAGCAGTTTGAAAGCATGCAAATGCAAGTAGATAAGTAGGTACCACCACAGTGGGAAGGTAATGGCATTCTGTGTCTAGTCACACTGGCCACATGACCACGGAAACTGTCTACAGACAAATGCTGGCTCTACGACTTGGAAACGGGGATAAGCACTACACCCTAGAGGTGGACACGACTGGACTAAATGTCAAGGGGAACCTTTACCTTTACCTAACCATGTATTATCCATTTTCTCAACAGAGAACCAGAGAGACAGAAACCCAGCTGAACACTACAAGCCACTAGCCTGTGGTACAGAGCAAACTCTGCTCCCATCCACTTCCTTGATACTTCAAGGCTGGCAGCAAAACATGAGACAGCTACATGAGGTGCCACACAACTGTTAAACCATATGTAGTAAAGCCATATGCATATGACTACTCAATTCTTCAAAAACCCTCTGGTTTATGAATGTGGGGTATTGTGCTCCTGTACTGACAATTCAAAAAGCCAAGAAATGGCCAAATATTGCTGCACAATATTGTGCCTGCATTGCCAGCAGGAAAAGGGATAACAAGCTTTACATGGCAAAGGGCAACCTGAAGGTTGATTACACCAATGGCAGCACTGAAACTGGTTTACAAGATATCCTCTTGGATTCACTACCATTCACAAAGCAACACCATGCAAGGGGAAATCCCAGCTTACTCCTTTTTTCATCAGTTAACCAGTTCTCAACCAAACACAAAGCAACTATTAGGACTAGAGATGGGGGTACAGTGGACTCTCGTCGAAATGACCAGATAGGTGGGGTATAAATAAAATAAATAAATAAAATAATCCGTATTGGGACGGTGGCTGCAGGTCGAAAAGTCTGTAGGTCGAGGCTCCATTGACCTACAATACATTGAAAACCAATTAATCCATAACCGGCCATTTTTGTTCCATTTTGGGTTTTTTTCCGCTCTGTAGGTCGATTCTCCGGCTGCAAGTCGAACCTAAATTTTGCGCCCAGAGAAGTCTGTAACTTGAAAAGTCTGCAAGTGGAGCCATCTGTAAGTCAAGGGTCCAGTGTATTTGTATTTGTTTACAAACACAAATATCCCCATCCCAGCTGCAAACGATGTGAGTCCAGCCCCCAGAACCAGCCCATCGACTCACACTGCACCGCCGCTCTTCCTGCCAATCGCAGAAGTAGCTCCTCCATCGACCTGCTTGGCTGGCCACTCAGCAGCCACACAGGGGAAGTCATCATCTCGCCCCCCTACCTGGAGTGGCCAGCTGAGCAGGGAGATGGAGGAGTTGCTTCCAAGACTGGAGGGAACAGCAGGATGCTGGTGGCACATGGGTGGACAGGCCGGTTCCAGGGGGCCGGACCCTCATCATTTGCAGCTGGGACAGGGATATTCCTAAATGAGTACGAATAGTCCTGTCTCTAGTCAGGACTGTTTTTCAACATGTGTGAATGGTATTGAAATAACTAGTTATTTGTAACCAATAACATCCAACCTCTGGTCTGGCAAAAAAAAAATCACCAGAGCTGGAAGCTAATGTTGCTTTGGGGGAGAGGGACGTTCAACTATTTTAAAAATTAGCCTGACTGGATTTTCAACTCTTTATATGTTCATATGTATACTTATATAAAAACAGGTGTCTATGAAAGCATAAGATATCTCTAGGGCTCTGTCCTTTCAAGCAGAACCAATGGTGTAACATACGTATTCATTCTTCTTAGTGAGTGAACAGCCTAAACCAATATTATGTGCCAGCACCCACTGTAGACTGGAATGGGTAGCTTGTAGCACTAAGTCCTCTTAATTCTAGCCAGCATAGAAAAGCATGAAGGATGATGGGAACTGCTGGACACAGAGACTGGCGAAACGTCAGGAAGAACAACCTTCAGAACACGGCCAAATAACCCATAAAACCCACAACAACCATCAGTTGATGGGAACTGCCAACAACATCTGGAGAGCTTGACTAGCCACTCAACTAGACCACCATTCAACTGGATCAAAGAATGTTTTCAGTAAAGCCAATTTCTTATTTGTTCCAATGTTCCTCTGTTTCACTTCTTTTTATTATTCCAACAACATGTATAATCTAAACACAAAATTCTTATGGAGTCCCAAGGCAAACAGTCACAAATCATTTGAAATCTAATTCACTTGCCAATCAACTTAACTTCATGTATTGGCGACTAATCGATAGCTCTCACACTGAGTTCCTAATTACACCTCTGGAGTGATGGAAGTCTGTAGATTTGAGCATACCCTCTAACCTGGAAAAGATTTGTTGATCATTTCACTCTGTGGGTGGGGAGAAAAAGCCATTTCCATTGCTACTAACCAAAAGTATGGAAGATAAACTCTAAGATGGAGTCAACCTTCCTCAAATTGATTGGTAATCCCATTGTAGTTCCTTGTGCTGAGATATAAAGAAATTAAGCAAGAGAAGAGCAGAGACCTAAAAATGATCATTTACTGTCTTCTAACAAGCTGGTAACTGGCTCATTGAGTTAGGCATCCAGCTACTGTATGGAGCTAGGGGTTGGCAGTTCGATTTCCCACCATGCATCCCAGAAGAGCCAGCCTGTGTGGCCTTAGGCAAGCTACACAATCTCAGGGTGCCTCCAAAAGAAGGGAATGGTAAACTACTTCTGAGTCTTCTCTACCTGGAAAACCCTGAAAAAGTTCACCATGAGTCAGAATTGACTTGACAGTAAACAATTATTATTAATAATAGCTGTGGGATACTCTTAGAACTACTAACATGCTTAGATATTCACTTACCTGCTATGCATGCTAAACACGGAATAACAGAATCTACAGCATGTGTTTGCTGGGCCTCTTATATAAACTCTCCATTATGATCACCCTGCCCCTAAATTAGCCTCATGTTGTTCACATACTACAGTAATTGCAGGGCATGAAAT